CTCGTCTTTCTTCCTCTCATTGTTTCCTATGCAAGCACTCTTGAAGTCCCTAACAAAAGCTTCTACATCCTCATTCTCCCTCGCATAAAATATCGGAAGCTTCCCCATTTCCAACTTATTTTTTTATTTTTATTTTTTTCTATTCTATTGGAAATTTATATGGGGCCTCTTAATACAATATAAACAACACTAACTTCATCCTTGAGTAATTCATCAAAGGAAACACAAAAGGAATTGGTTGTTCCAAGATAGCCAAAGCTCTCTCCTCTTCTAGGCATACGATGAGTCTTACCCTCATCATCATCTTCTCCATCATTCGAATGATGATCTTCATCTTCATTTGGAGCTTGAGCCCGCTGAGGTCACTTTCTCTGTTTCAGCACTTAGCTTGCCGTCAAACCCTTCCACAAGTGATTCCAGAAAGTGCCTTCACTCCGCTGCATTCGTGTCCCACTGGTAGCCCAATCACTCCGCAATTGTCACAGAAGATCGCACTTTGGGATTCATGTGGCGATGATGGTCCCAAGTGAAGTTTCAAATCTCCCAAGTTCCTCTTGCTCCTCAATCTTCTATCTTTGTTCCGCAGGGAACAATTGACAACCTTATGGCCCTCCTCTCCACAATAAAAACAAGTTTCACGTTTGACTCTTGGAGATTGACTCACTACTCCTTCTTCAAACTCCACCTTGAATTCTCTTGTATTGGAGTCTAAAGACACTATAACATCCAAGCCTTGAGGTACTTTGGATAACCTAACCTTCCAACCTTCTTGTTCACTCATTTTCCCATAAGGTAGAAACCACTCAAAAGACCTCTCCCAGAAACGCTATCTACTTGACGAAAACTGTGAATAAAGAAATCAAAAACTTTTGCTTTGTTATCTTGCTTTTGTACCCCCTCAACTTCAAATCAATATAACTTCGTCTCTAGACGTGATCTCTCAGTGAAATTTTGACTCAAACATAGCTTATCTTCCAATACACACTCGTACGAAGTTTCAAAGCCTAACTTGAAAAAAAAAAAAAAGAAATCAACTCTGTACAAACTTTTCAGAGAGCAGACTTTTGATACCCGTGAAAACCCCTCAACTTCTAACTCTCATATCTTTTTGTTAACACATGATCTAGACCTGAAACAAAAACGTTAACGTTTTTTATCTTCCACTTTACAATCAATAAAAACTTGGAAGAATACCTTCAAAAATACTTTTTCGGTGTCTAAGATCACTTTTCTCTCAAAAAGACATGTTTACGTGAACAAAACATACAAAATCACTTCTAGGCTATCATATGAGACTATGGAATACACAAAGGAAATTTCGCTCTCAAGCACACTCTCCGCTCTTTCATTCCTCAATGTTAACACCAAGTGATCCCTCATGGATACTTTCTCTCGAGCTAGAAATCGAATCCTAAACATTCCGCCTTCTAGATTGAGGTCCCGGCAACGGAACCAAAAATGCAACCTCCGGGCTGACTCTCACTCAGGTTTACCTCTGATGGCTTTGTGGTAGCGCATCATGGTTCTAGAAGACTAGGATTCATCCTCTCACTCATGTCCCAAACACCTTCTCTCACAAACTCTCCATGTATCACTCCAGCTCACACACAAACTCTCCTCACATCACTCTCTTCACATAAACGCAAACACACGTCAATACTCCAAGATACTCAAAAACTTCACTCCTTCATTCCTAAAACAAGTCCTCACACATGACTCTCCAAACTTGCTTGAGAGGCTCTTCCCTACCTCTCTATATATACTACTTGAGAATTTACCATAGTAACAAATGGTAATTTCTATCTAACTTACTTTTACGAAGATAAATCATAGTAAGGTTGACTAGTTATCAATATGTGGCAACATGCCATTGGCCCCCTAAACCTTCTAGATGTATACTAATCCCTTGATTGAGGTGGCGACATGTCATTTGTGCCTTTCCCACTTCTAGAACTTCCACTTTCCACTAAGTCAACATTAGACTTAGTCTCACCAATGGAATACTCCTTACTTTAGTCAAACCAATCAAAACTAAACATGAAGTTCAAAAGTCTTTTCTCTTGGAATCTAGACTTTTGTACAAGACAAAATAGAAGTGCTCACTCAAATTTTCTAGAACTTCTCTAGTTATTCCGCCAAGTATAGACATTATAGCTAAACTAGCTAGACTTCGTCATAACTATCTTAATCATGATTAACTCCTTGGCTAATTCTAGTTTTATTTCACACATGCAATATCTGATCTTACAGTCCACACACAAAGGTATCACAACTCGCCTCTCTTGCTGGTGGTCTAATCTAATCTAATTACTTCTACCTTGAAAGTTAAAAACTATATGAATTTCCCGTTATAACTATTCTATTTTTGAAAAAACAAAAAAAACTGCGCTACCACACACTGCAAGGCGCTCGCTACGTACGTGAAGAAGGTTGGTCTCCAAGAAGAGCTGGATAAGACGATCAAGCAAGAGATTGTGACGAGATGGAATTTCCTATTAAAGTGTCTGAGCAGCATCGTGGATGCTTATGAGCAGCTCGTGATGGCGTTGACCGTCAAAATTTGGCGAAGATTGCACAGATTGACGAGGAGTTGTTGGTGGAGCTCATCACGTTCTTTCAGCTGTTCCAGGAGGCAACCCTCGCCATGAAGGTATTCAAACAGCCGACGCTTCAACGCGTCTGCTACTTCAAGCAAAGCCTACTCCTTCATTGCGATCTGGTCATTGAAGACGTGTAGTACACGGCGAGTGACATCACCAATAGTAAGATTGCAAAGGATTCAAAACACATCCTCGCTATCCAGCCGATAATTCGACACTGAATCGAGGAAAAGTTCATCATCCAACGAATTCACGTCATTGCCGCCTTGCTTGACCCTTGAATTAGACGCAGTCTCGTCAAGTACGACATGTCCAAGGAACACATCGGCAAGGCCAAGAAGAATTTGGAGTCATTGATGGAAGAGCACATCCCTAAGCACGACCAAGACGACGACGGGCGTCATCCTGTCAAGAAACCTAAGAAGAATCATTTGCGTGGTCGTCGGCAGTTGGCAGAATACATCGAGGAAGATGATTCGGACGAAAGCGAAGGGGAAGCAGCCGGACATATTGATAAGATAGACCAGACTGCAATCGAAGCGCATATTGTGAAATTCAAACTGGCCTAGTATTTCCTCCACAACTTCAAGGACAACGACAGCGTTACCAAGGAGCAAGATCTTCTCTTTTGGTGGAAGACTCAGCAAACCTTTTTTTCCATCCTTTCTGGAGTCGTTCGTTCTGTCTTAGCCATTCCAGCTTCCGGTGCTAAATCAGAGTGCAACTTCTTAGAGGCCGGCAACATCACGACTAAGAAGTGAAATTGGCTCAACCCGTCAAAACTCGATGACTTAATGTTTCTACAATCTATGCTTCTGTCCCGCCGATCTCAACCTCAATAAATTCTTGAAGATTTTTGAGTTCCGTCACGGAAAAAACGGGTTAGGGTTGGGTTCAAGACACTTTAGGGTATAGGGTATAGTTTTTAAAGAAATGTTATTCTCTGATTTCGAGTTATGTTTGATCTTTGACCCGAGATTTTCCACTGTTGTCGCCCACCATAGGGGCTGAAAGCGCCGTCATTGTGATTGGGCGCTTTACTCCACAGTCGTCGTCACTCGTTCAGACTGCGCGGTGGGTCCGTCCGAGTGATGCGAGAGGCCTTCAGGAAACGGGATGAACAGCACATGCGGACGGTAGAGGAATTAAGGACTTCGGACAACGGTCAATCGGGAACAATCGTTTTGTCGCCTCCACGCTGGCCTTCTGAACTTCTGCGCTGCAAACCCGAATACCTCAAAGGTTAGCTCTGGATTCTGGACCTAGTCACACACGACTGACTGACTCGGGAGGGCCTGACCTGAGGAGCCCTATGTCTAGGGTGCGCGACAGCTCTCACTTGCAACACACTGGCATCCACGGTGGACCATGCCACGTGGATGATGAGTCATGCATGACACGGTCGGGATTGCGGTGCACGTCACATGCGGCGTGGAGACGTCCTATGTCCGGTGCAGTAATGATAACATTTTGACCGTGATGTGCTGGCGTTAATCGGATGCGAGGCTGACAGAGGCCACGGAGATGATTCAGACCGAACGAGGGCGGAGATGGAGGATCACGTGAAGAATCACGACATCTCTGGGATCTTGAGTCTGGACGTCGGAAATGTGGTCATCACCGACTGCTGCATCTCGTGATGTGATGAAATGGAGAATCCCTAGGAACATGCCAATCAGAGATTTCTGAATAGATCGCCCTCAAATGCTTCATATCTTCATATTCTCATTGCCTTACCTGCATGTGGGTCCTACGACGTGAGATTTTAATTTTCTTCTGTTGCCAGTACGTACCAGACCGTCGCTAGTGCTGAACATCTGGAGACCATAGGAGTACGATTGCGGGTCAAAAGCGGCAGTTCTGTCATTGGACCTAAAGTCCGGTCCCTCTTATTTATTACCGGGGGTACTCTTCCTATGCACAGTACCTTCGAGTTTACCTGCATCCTCTGCCCTCGATCGTCTCAAATAGGAATCTATGTACATCTCATTGCTGCAAGTTCTGCTGTACAGTCCTGTCTTCCAACATCCAAACTCCCAGAAGCAGACCAAGGGGCTTCACATCACACATGCATGCATCTTTCATGCATCCTCCATATATTTGAAAACAAGCCATAGAATTTGACTGCCGAAAGGTCCTGTGGACAACCAACCATCGACGTGGGCCAAAGCAAGGGACACATACGCATTGTCTATGTCAAGACACCACATGCGTGCTGCTAAATCACTTTCGGCCATGCAAGCTAGCTGAAGAATAGCCAACACAGTAACAATACTGCTGGTGCTGCAGACTTAGCAAGCAAGAGGACGCCTAGATCATATCTTATGGCCTCTTCAGACTTGTATTCAAATAACAAGACAGACGCATCACATAGACATAGCTGTGCAATGTAAGATAGAGTTAAACCACAGCTGTTAAACTTGAGAATCGCGCAAGCAGGTCTCGGGAGACTCCACGAGGTTATATACCTGAATTGACGGGACAGCATTCACAGTAAACGATGAAGAAGTTGAGTTTGGGTTTACTACTGTGACATTGATGTATTCAACGAATAATTTTAAATTAGGGCCACTGTGAGAGCTACAAAGGAGTCAGCCTACAGATGAATTGCCTGTTCTGAACACAACAAAGCTATACCAGATTAATCTACTAAGTCTACAGTGTTTGTATCCGTGGATCCAAATTGAAACAATTTCTATGATACAAAAGTAAGAGGAAACCAATGTGAGAATTTGGAAATGCTGCTACGAAGGTTGTGAGGGTCACTCATGACAGGAGGTATACACAAGTGTGAGAAACATTGCTCTCAAGCAAGTCTTATCTCTCGTCAATGAGGGTTCTACAGATGGATCGGATACAAGGGACCTAATTTTCAGTTTATAATCTATTGAACATTGGTGAATTACATTTTTTAGCATAATATACGAAACACGCAGTTATCAGAACAAGAATGGCAACTACCAAAAACACTATGCCCGCAATGAGACCTCCGGAAGCTTTCTTATGACCACTTGGCTCCGGGTCGTAGACTCCCTGTAGTTCATGTCAGATGGAAACAGTTCAGCACTCTGCCTATGCTTTACGAACACTCGAGGTAAAACTCGATATGTGATGAAAAATCCCGACTTAATCAATATTTCAAGCGAAAGAAGCACACTTCTACTCTTGGAGAAATAAACTACATGGCATTGCATAACTAGGTACTCATAAAGAAGATGCAGCTTAGTACCTGCCCGGGTGCAGGGTAGCTTCCCGGTCTCTCGAGGGGCAGCAAGTTCACAAATGATTCATTTGTGATCCTCCCCTTCAACTGCGAGAAAATGTCACCCCTGATCATGAGATTTTTAAAGTGTCCACAAACTGCTCACCATATAAGTCTCAAGAAGTTTGCCTTCACAGAACTATATACGTTACGTACAACTCGATTAAAACCACAACATAGTTGCGTAGATTCGAGTAAGTTCGAGATTATATACCTCCCAAGAATGCAACGTCATAGAAACCAGATCATATACTGGAGGCTGAGCTGTAATACTGCGTGCACCAGTCTCTGGATCGAATTCGACTACTCCAGTGCAACCATTAAATCTCAGTTGATGTTTGCCACTCGCATTGAAGGATTTGAAAACGTTCAGTCTTGTAACTTCAAGTCCAGCTTCGTGCAGTTCATCGACGACTTTGTAAAAAGCCAAAACAGCGTCAAAAAGATACGGTACATACGAGCGAGACTTGTTGGCTCCAAGTGATGGTAGACCCGGATACTTGTCAGCCATTTCCTGCCAATGCATATAAAAACTGCTGCATTGGGAGTTTGCTGAAAAATCTCCACCTACAAAAGCATTTAAATGTCCATAAAATTCTCTCTTATACTCTAAAAGATGTTCAAAACAACAACAAAAAAAGCTCTAATGTTAAATCATTAGTACCAAATACTGGAATAGAAGCTAAATTGTACAATTTACACAGAGAAAGCAGCGATTGACTAGGGGCTCACCATACGGAGCCAACCCAATCTCTCCTTCGAGTGCGCTCACCAGCCCTTGATCTGATAAAAAACAAGATGACTGGATGAGAAACTTCCTGAATTAATACTTCATTCATTCCATACGTCTAGCAGTTAGAGCTTAAGTGATGCCATAGTGTTGATATATTACATGACCATTCTAAAATTATTCTTATCAAACACGATCTTCAAGGGGTTGACTCTCAGCAAAAAAATCGTATAAAAACTCGTATAAAAAAATCGGGCATTCTTTACCGTCCAGTTGACAATGCATCTGAGTAACAAATGGAGATTTCCCGAATTAAGAGATGTACTTTCAGGGTGGATACCTATGTTAATCGGGTCGAATGCTGTTGCTCCATCGGTGCCGAAGTACCACCAGGGATATCTTATCTTATCCTACAGCACAGCAGGTCACCAGGACTCAGAGTTGAGATTGAACTTGAAATAAAACATCCACATCATCAATATATATTCTAGTTAGCTTCCAGAGGTATTAATTCCGAACTACATGTTCACTAGTTCAGAACTGATTCTTTAAAGTCATGGCTGAATCTCTTGTCTATCTTACAATAGGATGTCTGAAAGTCAACTCAATTCTCCCGTTGTAGACCGTTTCCGACCGAATTGAGCGTTAAATCGTTTACTTCGCGATAGCATGCAGTTCTAGTTCGTTCACAAACAAGGCCGTAGGTCGTACGTTTCATCGTAATCATATTTTTTTAAAAAAAATGCCTGAGAATGACGAATTTGCAACGCGTCTACGCACCAGTTGATAGGCCAATTTCCATATATCCTGCGCAACTGTAGGTTGCACAACAAGAATGACGAAGTCACTGGGCTTCAGTGAGTTCAATATAGTCTTGAGCTGCTCTTTGTTCACAGTCACGTTGTATCCTGGCTCCAACAATACCATTCTTACTCCGCCAGCCGTCTGCTATACATCACACAAATGGCAGAAGAAGACAGTCAGCTTTAGCATCAACCAAGGAGATAATTTGCAATGATTGTATTGGTCCCATGTAAGATTTGCTTGAAGTAGATATTCTAGTCTTCTCAAGACTCTGATCGCAGCGCATTCACGAAATAAGCTGAATGAATGATCAAGCAGGAACCGAACACTAGCGTCATCACAGTACTCCGCAGTGATTTGCCGGAAGAGGAATGGATAGTCAACTCTCTAGATGAACTTTCGCGTTCCTGAAATTGGCCTTTGCAGCCTAGAGCTGTAAGAGTGGAGAAACAACGGTCGGACTTTTCTGGACATTATAAATCATAGACGAACTGAAAGCTCCTCCGCCTTCTTTCATGCATACCGTACTACAATGAGCAATTCGTTACACACACATCTCTCACATTCTTCTACCAGACAAGGTCCGTACTCCTTGATAGACAACCGTAATAAGATAAGCACTGTAGGTGAAATATGCGCGAGAAGCTATTTGCAGTTGATTTACCGAAGGCAGGACGTCAGCTTACCAAGTTGATCTCGGAAGCTAAATTAGTGCTGTAGTAGTCATTGGTGTACAGTATTGTTGCGTTGGTTATAGCCAGTCTCTCCATCTGAACAAAAACGAGGTTACTAGGTAAGGCTTATCACGTTCGTGGTTCAGAGTCTTCACCAGAGGTTCAGGAGATGCGCATGAGTTGAACACAGAATTCGCATGATGGACGTAACTGGGTAGTATAATCAAACATCTGCAAGTTCCTGGTGCCAGCTGCTTTGAAATCTTTCTTGTAAGAGGCAACTCAAAATTTCCCTATACTTGCTCCAACATATCCTTCATGACTTCGTTCCCTGGCCAAACGTAAGATCCATTTCGTAGCTCCATTGGATTTGCATAACGCCTCCGGATAGATACAGGCAATTTTAGGCAATCCAGGTCTTTTCTTTCTACGGTATACAGACAGGCGGGCCCCGGAGGTTTGAACATCGTCATGCCGAATTGAAAAAAGCCATCTTGCTAGTTTGCAGATCCTCCTAGTGAAGAAGATCTTGACAGAAATTTTTCTTCTATCACCTAGTCACCACCGGAGAGTAACACACCAATTCTGATTCTACGTCAAAGGAGCACATACACTGGCTACTACTGCCTTCGCTTGATGCCTGTCAGTGTACCTGCATACGTGACAAAATTTTCAAATATGTCAGTCAGACATCACTAGCATAAGCTTTCCATAGCTCATGACTTTCAACTCATGTCAATGCGAGTGTCCGTCCGTATCGTGTCTAGCGTTCAGATATTCTGCCAGTGTTCAGAGCGTTATGTCACGAAGTTGACTACCGAACATCAGAGTATATAGTCATCGAGATGATCGCAGCAACAGGAAGCAAGGTGGTTTCGTTGGATCTCTCACACTGTGCGGAAAAATGTCGGATAGTAGGTTCGATTAGACAAAGGTTCCGCAGTTGCTGCGAAGGAGACTAGTGCTGCAGGTCCTTCCTGATCAAAAATCATCGCCGCAGCTATTGCAGCCCCACTACAGGCCGGACCTACGGCCCCGATCAGTCCTTCTTGTCTCATCATCCTCGACGCATCTGATTGGGCTGCTACAAAAGTGCAGTCGCTGTCCTCCATGTAGGGCTCGAATTTGTAAGAGCGGTTGGCGTTGAGCACATCCACAGCGACTCGAAACGCAGATCGCCTGCCAAAGCACGTTTAGAAATATGGTCAATCTCCGCCATGACGTCGATCACCACGAGCGTAGAGCGACATAACTTGCAGCCGGAGACATGACGATTGCGTTAAGATATGTTCTGATGTGAAGAGCCATTGTAGATCATCCTACAACTGAAGATAAAGTATCACCAATCTATTGGCTTCGCTGCGTAAGGACGTCTTAACAATCTGTACAGTCCTAAACCACTATCCAATGCTGTTGGAAGGTAGTTTGTAGTGCTCCCACTTTGTATTTAGATGTAAGCAGGATTTTTCGCACTATTGATTCAGTGCAAAGATGCATCTCACATGTAACGGATTCGGCAAAACTCTAGCAAATGCAAAATTTATCGATACATGCGGGCGCTTCATGCATCTAGCAGCAAACAATGCATACGCATACTCATATCGCTTCACCGACTCGCACGGTGTCATAGAGTAGCGCTAAGACTGCGAAGTCTTCTGCATGGGCGAACTAAAACTGTCTTAAACAAATACACATTAAAGCATGATTATGACTTGTATGAATCGTCGTATTCACCAACTATCAAATTTAGAATCCAAGTGATCAAGCTGATTGATTAGTCATGAATATGCTTATACAGAGATTTCCTATTTATCTCGCCCTTCCATGCAGAGTGTCAGGATTCGGAACTCCAGTTTGACGGGCTAGGATGTACTCTTCCGCTTACAATATCCCGTCCCAACATTTTGAATCGGGGCGATATTTGTACCATACCCGTGTATATATTTATCATGCCATTGAATGGCGTTTTTGTTCTCCGAGTTGAAGCACCCAACATTGTCTGCTTCGAATCTATAAAAGCTTGAGAACCCACGCATAACGGACGTAGATAAAAGTCACCGTAGTCCTGGGTTAAAGTGATTCTAAACTTCAGCTGCATATTCCAACGTATCCTAACTCAGAGACCTGTAGTTTTCCTTCTCGGATAAATTACAGTTCTTCTCGCTACAGCATCTATTGGTGAAATATTGCGGAGACAAAGAGCAGTCTTGTCCTCTCCTCATGCCAAATCTCTTCCACCTCACATCTACAAAGGCAGACAATCGACCAGTCCACCTACAAAGTTTACTCATTATTGAGGACCTGCCTTAACCTTCCCCTATCACATGTAACTGAATGATAACCGCAAGATAGATTTGAGCCGCGAAGCATGAGTGCCTTCTACACGGTCCCATTGTGTCCGAACTGATCGATCGGAAGTCGTGAAGAGTTGCCGAGAATTCACCAGCAAGAAGCGGTCATAGTCAAGCCTAGTGAGGTTTTAGCGACAGAAGCATATTCGTGAGAGTTCATGGCATTTTCGTTGTTACTAACCCCTGAGGCACGTAGTCCTTCGTGTTCGGGTTCGGGAAAGCAAATTGAGGAACGTGACGTAATAAAAGATTCTGAAAATACGTTTGCGATAGCATTTCATTCATCATGCACACGTTCTATACAACTTGATGCAATAGATTTCCACACACCACTATCAAACAATGAAGACGATTGATGTTCAGGACTCACCACTCTATAGACAAGCTTTCGGGAATGTTCGTTCCTGGATTGGGAGACAGAAATCCCAGCATGTATGTTCCATTCGTCACGGCAGACTCCACATACATCGATGTCGGCTGGGTCGGGCATAGTAGAAGAACAACAATAAGCTGGAAACTGAGAAGTAATTTGTTTAAGTGACTGAAACACCTGACCAATCCAGAAAGGCGTAACGAGGGCATTGGCCTTGCGCGTGCACGAGCTATCGTACCTGTCCAAAGTTCACAACTACAAGAGATTAAGGTTCAAGCGTGCCGCGTTAAACAGCACCAGCAGTCAGTTCGAGACAGTGTCCTGGTGCTCGTCTGCCGAAGCTATCAGAGACAATATTCATTTGGCTGGGAAATGGAGGCGCGACTCAGAGAAAAACTCAAAATGTGCTCGTCTCGCTCAGCTTCGTCCAGCGTCTGCTGTCAAACCTTACGTAGAGGGAGAGCAACGCGATTCATGAACGGCATTGGACGGAGGCGCCGGCACGGTGTTGAGCAGACCAGCCAACGTTGACAATGAGCCTGCCGCGCATCGTTAGCTGCAGCTGAGAGACGGTGTGTGGATGAGAGCGCACAGGCAGCGGGCTCTGAGATTTTGTAGCTCAAACGTGAGTGCCGGTCCCGAATGTGCTCGAGCGAGCGAGCACGGGCGTGACACAGAAGGGCGTGCGGAGTTCAAACCACGAGGCGTGAGGGAGAATTTGATCGAGACCCGACCGGACTGGGTACACGGCACCTAACCTCGGCGCATCCGGAGCCAGGCCGATGGGGAAGAATTGCACAAAATCGACTCTCTCAACTTCGCATGCCAGTACAGACCATGCAGGCCCAGCTGCGCATCTACCTCCGAACAGAAGCTACATACAATTGCCTGTCTGCAGCCTGCCCTGCAGATAACGGCTCACAGGACCACCCTAGGGAGCTCAAAAGAAGGTTTAGAGTCTATCGGAATGCATATTGGCTAATTGGGGAGGAGATACGCACAGAAGAGGAACAGATCGGATCAAATTGCACCAGCCTGTTGCACGTGCAACGCAAGCGGCGTGCTCGACAGCATTTACGAGAGGAGACAGCCCCACAGCCCTCAGCCCCTCGCGAAGAAAGAAAGAAGGAAAAGGGCTGCCGACGCGGCTCTTCTACGAATAAGGCTGGGACCGCGCGATGGTTTCATACCGACCGAGGCGAGAGTGGCTACCGGGTGGAACCAGTCAAACCTCACCGGAGGGCATGCGACGCGCATTGAAGCACGTGAGGTTCGGTACAAGCCTCGGAGTGAACTGGGATCTTCACCACCGCAAACATTCCCGTCGCGCTCGTTTCGCGGAATGCCGTACCCTTGCGTCGCAGAGGTCGGATGCCGTTCAGATCACATCTGACGGTAAAAGGCCGAAAGATTCTCCAGCACATACTCTTCCCTTATTTATTCCGGTTCCTTCCATCAGGACATTTCAGCCGGTACACTGATTAGTGACGGGGACTGTGGACTTCCCGTTTGTTGCAGAGGTCACGTACGGATGACGGAAAGTTCAGGATTCAAGTCCTCAGTTTCCGGGCCCCACCCATCGCAGGGCACATGCTCGCCGCAGATGACCCGTCTCGGGATCCCGCAGGTGCCAGGCCCCCTGCTCTCTACATGCTACTATCTCTAATTGTTACAATTGGTCTTCCCGCACTGGACTCATATCCCTTGCTGTACGTACAGCAGTCCGTCGACAGACCCCGCAAACTCCTCTGGGTTCCGCCGCGTTAATCGGGAGAACGTATTGATTATCCGGGGTCCGGATGCACATCGTTAAGTTTGATCCATCTCTTCGATGACGCTGGCGAATGATGCACAAGTGCACCGTCCGGAAAATGGGAATGGATTAATCTGAAACCCTACGAGTGCCTTCTGGCTCAGGCTATGTTCTTCCAAAGAAGTACGCGCCTACGTGATTTCCAGCATTCTTATGGCCGTCCGCTGATCGTGAACTTTGCTCTCGGGGAGTCGTATATTCGCACTGTATGTGTCGGGCTCTTGCCTCGTCTTGTACGTCAGCAGTATCTCAAACATTTACATGAAGTGTAAAGACTCGCCGATGGAAAGTGTTGGTGGTGACAAAACCCATTGCCGTCTAACACTTGGAAGATAGCGTGTGATCTTTAGATCGGCAATTCTTGATTGTCATTCAATTGCTGTATTTCTTGCAGCTCCTTGCATTCAGCTCCCAATAAGTACTCCATGTTACTTTAGCATGTATTGCAGTGGACTGAAATGGTCCAAATTCAACAGGCCAGGGGAAAAACCCACCAGAGGCAGTCTTTGTTCAAATCGCTGGCTCTCGTCCCGCCCTCCTTGAACTAGTCACTCTGACCGACTATTTGGATATGTAATGATGTCGTTTACTTAAACTGATAGAAAAGCCCCGTGATTGGTCGACGAGGTTAACTTCCGTTTAATCGTAAAAAGTGTAGCAAGCAGATGGCATCCTTCAAACTCATGGAGGTCAAATCCACCAGGAGGCAAGAAATGTTCAGGAGAAATCATGGTCTACACCAGACCAGATGGTACAGCTGACAGGCAGGGTCTTTATGAACGGACAGAGTCTAGCCAGTCAGTGTTTGAACGGTTGCATCCTTGCATCCTCCTCCGCCTCATCCTCGACAGCAAGCAAGAAAGAAGAAAGAAAGCGAGCAAGCAAATCGGTGGACTTTTTCTTCAACCTTTCTTCAGCGTGTCTGAGCCATTTAGAGCAGCACAGAAGGTAGTCAAACGAAATCGGAAGAGCAGAGGCGGGGAGTAGTCCTTACACACGGACATGTCGTGTCGTAAAACGCCTGCAAGGATCAATGTCTCCCAAAACATTCCATTCCATGTCATGTCGTCGTTCCTTCATTCCAGCAAATCTTATCTCTTCGCGTGAATGTTTATAATTGTTTGTTCCTGAATCCTGATAGCTACAGGCTCGCGGGGTAGCAGGGCCCAGGCGCGTATTCCCGAGAAGTAACAATTACAGGAACACAGGAGTCGACGACTACCCGCACTGTGCTTGCAGGGACTGTTCATTCTCTCTGTGAGCGACGAGCGCCTAGACCGACCGACCGTGTGGGGGCCGCTTTCCCCGGCAATGTTTTCCTTCCCGTGAGACCTGCCCGCTGCCATGGCGCCGGGGGCCCGCCCGCTGGGCGGATCGATCTGTCTCCGACAGGGCCCCGCCAAAACGGATCTCACAGTCGGCTCCCTGCCCGGCCCTGACCTGCCCACCCCACCACCCGGCGGGGCCGGATGGTGAAAAGAGATCTACGCAGACAGGTGGCTGTCACTTGTGTTGATGCTCGCCCGCTTGCTCTCGAAGGTGCCTTCTTGTCTTCGTGACCGTGGACCGAATTAATGTCGAGATCTTGTTCCACTCCTGTACCGCTAGGTTGGCGCTGACTACTCCGCCGGACAGACGGGCTCGCTCCTCACTGCTCGGGACCCCGGGACCGTTCGGGGCATTGTCCCGACAATTCAGGCTTGGATCCACCGATCGCCTACGAACTAAAGCAAACAACTACGTACGTTGGATTATTCATTTCTGTATATATCTTTTTTACTCGTCTCTGATTGATGATCATCAATCACGCTATTTCGGAAGTAGTTGCTCCTCATCCACGAGCCCTGTAACCGACCAATCAGATAAGTGTATATTGTAGAGTGAGAGACAAGAAGCCGCTCCCTTCTAGAAGAGTATTACTACATCTTAATATTCTAATAAATTTTATTCGTGTAAATAGCTCTACGAGGCTTGGCGAATGGTGTTAGTCCTCTTAGTCCATAACATGAATCATTTTACCAGATTCCTTCAGTTAGGAAGGTCGATGCCACTCCTTTCATTCGGTGAAGCTAAATCGGATTCGAAATTAGTATCGGTGGTTGTTAAAAAACACGAGCCCTCGCACATAAATGTGCGTCCCGTGCTATTGCAATGCAGTCTCCCCCCTAACCTGTCATGAATGTGGACGAGAAGTCTGGCCCGGCAACTTGGAGCCGGCTCAGTACAGAGTCTCTCGGTCGGTCCAAGTTTGGGTCGAGTACAATATTGATTTGCAGCGGGCGTTTATTTGTTCTCGATTCGATTGGTAATGTAAACGTGTACTTGGCATATAAGCAGTACAGTGCTGTACAGTAGTACATTATAGAGGTAAAATCTCGCAGTATAGCTTGGCATGCCTCAGTTCATCTTTTTCAATAAATGTCAGTTACCTCTGTCCGTAATTCTATCTCTTGCTTCGGAGAAGTTGATTAGACAGGGTGGGCGGGTTCACAGTACTGATGTCCCATATGTTAGAATGTGAAAATAGAACGTAAGAGGGAACAAGAGCCCTCGGTTTCTGACCAATACTCCCGTAGACCCCATCGAATAGAGAAAATTCGAAGCCATTAGATTCAAGAGCTTGTTACTGCACGGACAGGACTTGAGTTCCTTCGTTTAGGATACGTATTGCATACACTATTGAAAGTTGTGCATGTGCGCCGTGAGTCACCATATTCATGTACTTTCCAGTAAATTTACATGTTGCAAAACTCACTCTGTCGACCCTCAGAGAGGGAGTTTGTTGTGATGGACATATTTACAATGGGTACATCCATAAAATATGCGTTCGTTCTGACGTTGGATGAGCGAACAGCGGAAGGTTTTCTATTGTTGTACACTACAAGAATGAGGGGCACTAGAAAAACTAGCTTAACCGTATGACGCTGATGTAATCACAATATATATATTAAAAGAAAATTGTGCTTTCTCACTTAAACACAAGAAAAAAAGTTCTTTCACAATGGAAGAGTACAGACTATAGCGTATGAACGGTAAAAGATCATTTTTTTGAAGATGAAGATATTGAGCTGAATAGTTTGTGCTACAGATCATATGAGGTCACATGACGACAAAAAGGTTGCACATTAGATAGCACGAGAATCACATCAAAGTCCTACAAATATTTTGCAAGCCACCTTGGGTTACAGTGGACTGACTTATGACGGAGCTGAGATAATAATGATATCAATTTAGACTCAATTCAGCCTTGAGTACTTGGCATTGAAAGAAAGTCATCTGATAAACTTTTGGAACTATTGAAGTTTATCTAATGTGTTATACCTTTGTAATCATAGACTAGGGAGGGAAACCATTACTATAGTGGTTTGATTTTCAAACCTCAAGATAACCCGGTTGATCATCTGGCCCTAGTTCTTTTAGTATCCAAGTTTGACATCCATATTTCACAAATGAGTTGACAAGACTTCCAACGTAAAGCGAGAATATTAAAAGTAGGTAATGAAACGTTTCTCCTTCCCATACGTCTTGAAATTGCTATAACGACAATAGCAAGTCCATGAATACAATGACAAAAAGAAAAGCAGAAGTTTCAGTTCATTTAACGTTATGAAATTAGTGAGTGCATAGATTCCTTCTTTGTCACAAGGGATCTTTAGTTATGTAGATGTGTGCATGTGCGTGTATAACAATTAAAGACATTCATTTCATTTGCTCTCGTATTGCCATCACTAAAGTTGATAACTTTCTTCCAAGACTAATGCCTTGAAGGTTATGTTCAAGTCAGGGTTACAATCAAATCGGAATTTATCGAAATGATAGAGATGCATGTCTTGTGTGAGTAAGTAAGTAACGTACTAACTTTAAGTCCTAGACTTCTAGAATGGATTTAGGATGATTGTTATTTCTCTAATGTAGTTTTTAGAGAAATCACATCTACACATAGACCTCCATGGAAGTCTATGTGATATGAAAACCTCAAGTAAGCGAGTTTGCCGTGGTGTTAATAAAAAAATAGCTCACAGAAATGAAAGTCTTTGAGAGCGACTTTAACCGACCCCAAGCGCACAGTTGACTCAGGCGGCTCGTTAACTAGCAGAACTTGTTCCCCTATGGCGGGTAGGTTTATAGTGACAACGGAAAAAGGTTGTGGTTCTGAAAAGCAAACTTCTGTTATATATATATATATATATATATTACTTTGTGGAGATATCGGCTTCTCATTTGATTAACTTAGCGCTATGTGAGCATTTATGATGTTTTTCCTGTCCACTCATGCAAAATTCTATAAAGTGTAAGTATGCTATTATCTTATTTGAAATG